TTTTAAAAATGATTTGGGTTTTAAAATTAAAATTATGAAATAATCTGATTTATTTAATTAATTTGCTAATTTGTATAGAAAAAAATAAAATAATTTAATTAATTCAATATAAAAAATAAAAAAATTATTTAGTTTCGGTTCTTATTCGATTTTTCGGTTCTTGGTCTAAACCCGAGACCCGACCCAAACTCATCGGTTCTCGATTCGGGTACCCGTTCGGGTATTTAATTTATGAAGAACCGCTCGGTTCGGTTCGAGACTTTTGGACACCCCTAGTCTGGTTACAAAAAATCAATCCTTCATTTGCACCTTGAAGGCTGAGAATATGCTTTCTCGTTATTTCCAAGCCACTCCAATTTGTTGTCCAGTCACTACAGATCTTCAGAATTATGTGCAGAATGATAAATTTGAGACCCTAACCCAAGTATTCAGAATTATCAAACACAAACTTTCACCATTATTACCAAGCAATTCGAAATTGTTTTGGAAAAAGTAATGAGCATAAATAAATTGGGAATCATATCCTCTCAGAATAAAATGTGAGTTTTAGGAATAGAAGTCTTTTTACTCATTACTCATATTTCTTACATCGGGATAAAGAAGTGACTCCACTGAATATGCTAAGAAGTTCGAGATTAATAAATGAGAGAAGCTCATATACCCAGGTAGTGGAGTAGGCTATTCCTGGTTTCGTTGTTTGGACAACAAATAACATCTTAAATTTCATTGTGCAAATTATTCAATGCAGAAAGTTCAATCACAGGATATCTCTAGCTTTTATTTAGTTCTTTTTCTCTATATATATATGTTTCATCACTAGCTGACATTCATTTTGTCATAAATTTTATTTGAAAGCCTGCAACTTGAACTTAAAAAATAATTTGAACCTCTTCATTCTTGTTTTTGTTTCCATTTTTCCTTTTGTCTATGTATCTCTAAGTAGTAGTTGAAAGTTCAGGAGATTTCAGAAATCAATGAAATGAGGAGCAGTATATAAATCATCTTGACTAAAAATTATGAATGATGCAGACCAAAGGAAAAATCAAGGAAAAAACCCCAGTCTGCACTTACCTTCAGGAGATTCACAGTGTTAAGACCAGCAGGGCGACTTTTGGACTCCTGTTTTTCTGATATGGCAATTACTTTCAGTATCCCATCTTCTTTGATTAAGTTTCGAAACATTTCAGTAACCTATCATCAGATATATTACAAGTATCATCAGTGTTTAGGCCCCCATACATTCGAACAAGTTTGAAAATTAGAGATAGAGAACCTCACATCTGAGTCAAACAACCTGTTACGATTCCACTCTAATTTGAGTTCATAGCCCTTGTGCAAAATGTACGGATGCAACTTCCAAAATTTTTCCGGCTTGAAAGTAATAATTTGTAGGTGTCGTTGCACACAAAATCCAAGGGTTGGAGTCTGACATGGTCCATATCTGAAATTAGAAATCCAAGTTTACTGACAAAGAGATACAGATCCACCAGGGAAAGAATTAATTAAATGTAAGTTACCTACGGTCCAGTTTGTCAAAACATAGTATTGTCACCCATGAGAGGGGGGAAAAAGGAACAAGAGTAAAAATGGACACCAATACAGATAAAAAACAAAACACTAGTTTCAAAGTAACTAATACACTTTCATTATTTTTAGGATACATATCTTAACAGGACAATGAAAACAAATGTCAAAGTAATGTATGCACCAACATGGATGTTTTATAACACATTGTCAGACTATAAAAGCAATTAAATGACTCAATGAAACCGATAAATTAAATTGTCTTGCTCTTCATTAAGAAAAGGTTTCCAACCAACTTATGACACTTCAATTTAAATATTTGAAATATTTTGTTCAGAAAGAAACTGGGATCAGTAAAAAAAAAACAATTGATTAAACAGGAGAGAGACTGACGAGATAACCCTTGAATCAAGGTTTCCATATTTCCCATTGAAATAGCTAGTCTGGAACCGTGTGAAGGAGACTCCAACTTTTAAATCAATCTCTTGGCGGGCATCAACTGCCAAAGCCTCATTCTTGTTAGGTTCGACAAGGTTATTCATAGCCTTCAAAATATCTTTCTCGGTTACAGATGAAAACCGTGCACGATAAACTCTTTTGCCATCTTTTGCATGGAACCCAGTGCACTCAATAACTGAAACCAAACAAAAATCAAAATATACATACAAAGGCACATATATAATTTAAAAAAATCAGCTTAAGATGTAATGATGGAGAAATTTGAAAATTGACTAGCAAATGCTTCTGTTCCTCGTGCATATAAACAAGCAGTCAGAATATCCAAAATGAGGTCAACAATATGATCCATGCACCTTACATATATCAAAAGTAAGAAATATTCATCTGATATTGGTAAACCACAATCGAAATAGCAGATATAGTTTCAATCTCCCTTTAGATGAAACAAGATGAGGTCAAGCAACAAATTATTGTTGGAATATCGAGAATAAAACTCAGCTCAACGTACGAAAACCTTGCCAGCTTGCCCTACTCAATGAGGATGGTAACTTGTTTTGGGAAAACGACAGCTCAATCTATCTAGAAATTAATGTATTTAAAATAGCTAATATTCTTTTGATCTGCCAAGATCAGCATTTTCAATTTTTTGAATAATCTCTCCACAGATCCTTTTGGAGCAAATGACTTGCAGGAATAGCTTTTCTTATCTGCCTCCACATGTTATGGAATAACACATGATATGTTACTACATATGGATAGTAATACTCCGAGTTCACATAGAACAACAGCGCCGTTAGTAGAGCTTGTGACTCTATGCTTGCAAACATTATATCCTACTTACTACATTAAAGTAAGAAAGGTACCTTCAAAGCATATATTTTCACCTTCACGATCACAATCCAACCATAATACTAGGTGGCCACAACCACGAGCTTCTTGGCTTAAATGCCTACAAATATGAGCCTTGTTTCCAGAAGCTTGTCAGCATTTTTCTTTTTTAAATGGAAAAGAAATGAAGAACGACAAAAAAAAAAGTGTCTGTTAAAGATTCAAAATTAGCTATCAAGACATTGTAGCATAAAGCCAGTTTTCTTGATAGTTTGAGTTCACACCATTGACCTATTTTTAGAGAGAGGGACTGGCAACATATTTGAGGCAGAGTTGGAACTATAAAACATGAGAATAAACTAAGGGAAGCCAAAACAACAAATGTTTTATCTCTTTTATGGGGATGCTTGCAGATTATTCCAAATGTAATATACGATAAGAGATGCTATTTATGACAAAGAGAATAAGATTTACCCTAGATGCAAAGTGTATCAGGTTTCCAATCTTCATAGGATAATGGATGAACATCTAGATAGAGCAGGCATGTAGGAACTTTATTGTAAGTACCAGAGAATTTTCATAGTACTCAAAAATATAATGATTAATATGGTATCGTCTACTGTTGATAGCAAAGAGGAAAAAGATGGAAGATTCAACTACTCTTTGAATGCTTGTTGTGCCTATGCTTTATATACTAAAACCATTAGCATACACATAATTTGATGTTTCAAACTACATATTCTAGTTTGTAAACGTTCGTAAAGGATAACAAGATCAAGTGAGTGGAATCAACAGGTCGAGAAAACAGAAGACAGTCCAACCTTTGGATTCGATTCTGACTTAACAATGGGCGCATCAAAAAGATCCAGAGGATCTGTTGCAGTCCAATTTTGATATGCTGCTGGAAAATCTACACTGCATTTTAAATACATAATGCATCAAAGTCAACATTCCAATCCAATTATTATTTTTAAGGCAAGCATACAAAAAAAAAAACTATAATAGATACTATCGGGTAAAAGGTGACAAAGATCCTTGGAATATTATTGGAAGATTATTCATGGAAGACTTGCCTTAGATTAGAATGAGTTATTATAAAACTATTTAGATGAATTTTTATTATATCCTCTTCATAATTACTGTTAAGTAGTTTTCCATATTTTGTTAGGGATTCTTAGTATAAGAGTGGTTTATAATTTTATTAGATAGATTCCGATTATTGAATAAAAATAAAGGTTTCTCTTTCTAATTCTTCACTCTCTCACAGCACTCTCTCTTTCTTCTCCTTCTCATCTCCCTTCTCCAAAAATTCTAGTTCTTGTTACGAGCATCCATCAAAAGGATAGGCATTGGTTGAATATATTTCTTGAAAGGACTTAATCCCTTTTTACCAAGACCCCCTTAACAACACTCGATTGTTAAATATTGTTGAACTATTTAATGTAACAGCTTAAGCTCAAAGCCTTGCACATGCACAATTTTATCTATATGGGTAGTGGCAAGACTTTTAATCTAGGACCTTTGCAGCTCTAATTCCATGTTGAATCATTTTATCTATAGCTTAAGTGTTAGAAAGTGCACATATATCATTTATAATTGTCCTCAAAAATTATATTAGACTATTGTAGACGATGTTTGACACAATTTAGAGTACAACTTATTACCAGTTCTAATAACACGTTATCAGTTCCTTAAGGATTTAATTATGCATATTATTTAGCATTTATTTGCTCGATCCAGCCTCTAACAGCGATAAAACTTGTCAGAGACAAACCATTTTCAAGGTTCCCCTGAGGACTCAAGGCACATGGTTTGAAGTATATCTGTGGTGGACCTGGTGGTAGACACCTTAGTTATTCAGGGTTTGACAGTTAATCTAACATTTATTAGTTGATCTAATGAATTTCAGCCCGGACATTATGTGTTCACTTCTTTAAGGTTTTGATTATAACGAATGTATTTTCTGCATGGAGTTCCTTCTCGATATAATTGTTAATGTGTAGTTCCTTTTAACCCTTGTATTTAGGAGTATTCTTGCTTAACATTGCAATTTCTTCATCGATCTTGCATTTTCGACGTATTTTTTATTCACTCTCTTTTCATGGGCATGACAAGCATGTAAACTGGTGCTATATCTACAATTATAATGTTAAAATTCATGGGCACTATGTATTTATCATATGACAAAGCAGAGAATACCAGTTTCAGCATTATGACTACTGAGAATATCCAAAAAGATATTCTTGAGGTTAAGAAGAATCTTGAAAACCTGAAAACATGACCAATCACAGAGGTCACTTTATATTGAGCAGAAAATCCCAAAAAAATTCCATCAAACTCATGGACCTCAGTACTACCCCTCCGGGATGACATCTGCAATGAAATAAGCTCTTTTATTCAAAGTACTTTTCAGAGTTATTGGTAAAAGAGCACACAAACAAGTTGATAATGAGCTTAAGTGAATTCCACAAGCAGTTGAAAAGGAATCAAGTGACTCGGATTGGCTCATCTCATCCCACTGTCATAATTTTGTACTAGATGGCCCAGAAGCCTCTCAACACATCATGCATCTTGTACCATCTTTACACCAAGCGACTAACTCGGTTGCCAAACTACACCCTTTTTACCCTGGCTGTCTGAAGTTTGAACTAAATTGTGTTTGGAAACATGGAATCAGGATCAAGGTCAGGTTCGTCCAAATGTTAAGAAAGATTGGGGAACAAAGCTAGTCTAAGCAAATGCACAATAGCAACTACCATTTTAGTAATTACTCATTCTATAGACTTGACATGTTCAGGATCAGGTTTATCCAAGCTCAGCTTACAGAGTTAAAGCCTTGTTTCGGGTATAAAGCCAGAAGTTCAGTCCATGATAACTCATTGACACTCCAATAAGCCATATCATAAACTACCAGGCCTTAAACTAGAGATCAGAGTCATCTCAGCTATGGTCCCATATCCAGGTCCCACAAATAAGCTATCCAAACAGCAAATTATAGCTCGAAAAATGAAGAAAGACGGCACTTTTCGAATATCATGAATTGGGGAAGTGCCCAAGCAAGACAAAAGAAAATTTGATACCCAAACTCAACCCATTGTTTCATTTTCCCATTTCTTTCCTGCATTAAAATAGCTCCAAAAATACCATGTCTTTGCATCAATTTGTGGAATCACTTGCAAACACACTATTCTTCTGTATTCATTTCCCTAGAAACGTTGCAGGCAAATAAAAACAGAAAAGCCTTCTAATAACAACAGAAATGTTTAGGGCATTACAACTGAAAACAGCGATAAAAAAACAGACAGGAAGAACATACTTGACCGCCAGACAGTACTGAGGCAATTGAGAGAGCAATGCTTGGTTTCTCTGCTACCTAATAAATTAATAATCACAAACACCACATACACATACATCATACATATACAAGTTGGTGAAAAACACCTGAACGAAAGCAAATTACAAAAATTCTTGAGATTGAAGTAAGAAGATTTTGGTTAATTTTTTAAATTTGCTTACCATTAGAACTTTGGGTGCCATTTTGAAGCTTCGGGGTTATTCGGAAGTTTTGAAGCCGGAAGAAGAACAGGTTATGTAGGACAAATTTTGGGTTGGGCTTCTGACTGATTCTGGGCCTCTTCGGGCACAATCAATTTCGTGGAAATTACTCTAGACCAGTTATTTAATTTTAACTTTCTAAAAATCAGGTTTTCCCTTTATTTTTTTCAATTTTCAGATTTTATCATCTTAATTAATAATAATATTATAAAATTAACATAACCTACCTACCCCACCCTACTACCTACCCT